TTGATTTTTGATTTCAACTTTCTGCAATTGCTGCTGTTGTTGTTGTTGTTGTTGTTGTTGTTGAACAATACCATAAAGTACAAACATTGAGTTCATTTCATTTCATTTTATTTTTCACACTGATTTCAATCAATATCGAATCCGATGACGAAAAGAAGAAGAGGAAAGTCTTTCCACTTTGATGATGATGATCGATTTTTTTTTTTGTCAAAAAGGAAGACATTTTTTTCCTTTTGCCTAAAAAAATTGTACTATTGTTGGTCCTAATTTATTATTGTCTAATAATTTAAAAATTGAAAATCCTAAATTAAATTCCTGGAAAAAAAGCAAAATTTTTTTCTCCTAGGCCCATCGGTAGATGGCGCTATTTATGAATTTCAAAATAAAAATTCATTTTTCGCGAAAATTATCGTGAACCGTACAGCGGCCGATCGGGAAAAATCCAAAATCGATATCGATTAGAATTTACTTATTTTTTTTTCTGTAACCAGGAAAAAAAGTTGACCTGAACTTTTTTTTCGTTTTGTTTTTTTTTCGCTTTTGGTGTTGGTCTTTTTTTTTCTCAAATAAACTTTGATGATTCCTGGTATATAAAAAGAATCTGTCAAAACCAAAACAAAAAAAAAAACGAATAGGAAAAGGAATGAAAGACAAAAACAACAACAACAAAGAATAAAAAATATTCGAAACTTTTTATTTTTCATCGTTATCATTCTTGATTCGGATTTTTTTTTCTTCAAATTTGTCAAAGTCATATTGTATGGCTAACAAAAAAAAATGTATTGCGTGTCACTAACGATGACGACCACGATACCTGACGATGATGATGATGATGACAATTCCTTCATGAGTGTATTGTATATATATTTTCAAACAACAACAAAAAAAGCGAAGAAAAATTTTTTTTCGCTTTTTTTTGGTTGCATTTTCCATTGTTTGTTTGTTGTTTCAGGTAACTAACTTTTGGTCGATAATAAAAATAATCGTCATGAATTTATTTCAGTTCCATTTTCCATAGTTTTCTTTTCAGTCCATTTCTATTTTAACTCAATTTTCCAATTTTTTTTCACCCTATTTCATTGTTCCAGTTTTCTTTTTCATTTTTTTTTTTTGGTTCAAATTAATGGGTAAATGCTTTTTTTGGCGTGCCATACCTTTTCTCATTCATTCATTCATTCATTCATTACATTTGTCACACAATTTCATTTCGGTCAATTCGGTCATTCAATAGTTTGTACGATTCTATATATATTATTAGAATCAAAGAAAACACCACATACCACGATCACAAAATATATTGATCCAATAATATAAGGTCGATCGAATCGAATCGATGATGATGATGATTATGGATGAAAATCTAAACGAAAAACACGCAAACAATGTTCTATAGAAACATTGTCCATCATGGTTACAAACAGTGTCAATTTTTTTTTATACTCGATCAACGGGTATAGCGTCCGAAATAACTTATTGTTGTATAAAGGTAATAATTGTACTACTGTCAACATATCTACAGTGGTTGTTTGTGTGTTGGTTTCGATGGACACACACACACACACACTAAGTCCGTCGATATATCCAGATACTATTTCCCGCCTGTTTCCAGTTTTTTTCCCTATGATATACGACGCCTCGATATATTTCAAGTTTTTTTCTCTCTCTTTTTTATTCTCCGAAAACAAACTCTAAACTCTTCACGCACACTCGAATGGACATTTTTTTAGTATGCAAGAGATAGTGCCCACTATGATGATATATAACATACACATTCGTTATATATATGGCAACAAAAAAAAATACTATTGACCACACAAAAAAAAAACTCGCCACTGACCACTCCTTTCAATTATATTATTATTTTAAAAAAAGGTAGAAACTTCCCCGAAAAAAAAAATCACGTTTGTGTTTATTGTCCGGTTAGCTATATAAATATATGATATTAGTGAATGTGATGGACAGTGGCTAGTTCAAAGCGTTATTGCGTAGGCGGTATTATGAAAAAAGAAAAATTTTTCGCTTTTTTCATATCAAAATCAAATTTGATTGGTTTATACCAACAGTTATAATATGTATGAACCGTTATTTAAAGTTTCAATCAGTAAGAAAAAAAAACAAACTTTAATGATAGTAATATTTTGGGCCGCTACTTTTATGATACAACAAATCAGATCACCTTATTGTAGTTTATTTATTACTTACCCGACATACACACTCACACACATAAATTCATTGTTTGGTCATGATGATGATGATGATCACACATTTGTTCCACACACACACACACACATGTCCACCAACATATCACATCCATTTTCAAACAACGACAAATGAATGAAAAAAAAGAAAACCATAGTCACGTCATTTGAATTGATGGAGAAAATGATGAAAAAATATGGACCTTTTGTTCATTGCATCTCTCCCCTGTTCAATTCATTCATAGGGTCCATCTGTTCATTCATCCATCCATCCATCTATCCATCCATCCATTGGAAATAATATTGATCACCATTAAAACCAACTCAAGGAAGTAAAAAAAAAAGTTCCATAAAATAGGTGAGGCATTTTTTTTTGTTGTTTCCTAAATATATTTGCAATGGTTACCTTTCGTCGTGCTCGTCAATATTACATCCTTGGTATATTGTCCACGCCTTTTTTGTTTGGTTTCTGTTGGCTAGCATCCATCTATCTCAACCGTAGGGACAGCAGCAGAAGCAGCAGTAACGGACAAAACAAACGGTCCATTCAAAATTACATTTTGGATGGATGTCGAGGGTCCGAGCCAGAAACGATATGTTTGAAACGTGAGAAAATACTTTTTTCTTCTTCTTCTTCATTTGTCAACCATTTTTTTTTCTTTTTGATTTTACCCTCAGTTTATATTCAATTCACATATTGATTCAAACGATGTTTCAAATAGAGAAAAGAAATCCCTGTTTTACTTTATATATTTTGTTGACCATCATCAATTTATATATCCGAATATTGTGCGGGTAGATTTTTTGTTGCTGTTGTTGTTGTTGTTGGATAACCTTGATATTGATGATGATGTTTGGAACGAAGGCCACGGTCATTGCAATATATATATTGAATATAAAGTTGTGACCCATAGTGACCGTAAGCAAGGACACATTCAAATCGAGATTATTATACAATAGATTTTTGTTCCTTTCTAAAAGGTCAATGGTTAATGTCAAGGCAAAAAAAAAAAAAAAAAAAATTGCAATTGATGATGATGATGATGTGAATATGGATGATGGAAAAAAAAAAAAAAAATCAAACAAACAGGTCATATATTGGGTCATTTATATCGATATTGACATGTCTATATAACGATATAGATTGCACAAACACACACACACACAGATATGCAAATTCAACCAACAAACCAAAAAAAAATAAATACAACAGGAAGTACTGATCTAAAGATTGGTCAAACCTTTATATCAAAAATATAGATTAACAGAAGTAAAAAAAAAGTCGAAAACAATAATGACCATCAGTATACACAAAACAAAACAAAAAACATTCAAATCAATTTAATCGATCCATATGGATATTTATCGTTAATAATTATTTAACAATGAAAAAAAAGGGCCCAATGATCTCATCATAATCATTATGTGACGTCAAAAAAAATCAGTAAAAAAAAGGGCTTCCTGTAGTAGTGGTAGTGGTCAATACAACACGCACACACACACACACACTCACCAAACAATAGTGGCAATCGAATCAATGCATTTCAAAAAAAAAAAAAAAAAAAAATTGGCTCTTGGCTCTCCTTGTGTATTTGATATATACAGAAGATATATGCATCCATACACACACACAAACAGATATATCTGAACCAAGCGGCGCTGCTTTCCCTCTTTCTCTTCTCTCTCTCACATTCTCTTTATTATTCAATGGACATGGTATCCTCGATTTCCATGTGTGCACATCGAAGCCGCTGCTGCTGCTGATGCTGCTGCCGACGACAACGACGATTGCGATGTTAACAGAGAGAGAGAGAGAACAGAAACAATTTTTTTTTTTTATTTTATTTTAGCGATGGTTAGTTAAGTGTAGTCGTCGTCGTCGTCGTCGTATTATTCCATTTGATGATGCCCGTTCGTTATTATTGCATGTGTATGTTTTTTAGCAGGTTTTTTTTCAATATTTTAGTCTGCTTTTGATGTTACAACTGTTAAGACGTATAATTTGTTGTACGTGTGTATTTTGGTAGTGTATTGTCCGATTAACGGCAAATTGTTATCTATGATTCGGATATAGAAGAAGAATCATCGAATAAAATTAATTACTTCAGATATCATCATCATATCAATAATGTCTCTTCAGATCAATAGATGATTATTAATTCAACATCAAAGGGTTAAAATTTTGTGTACGGTGTTTTTTGTTTGTTTCGGTTTTGTTACCATTGTCATTTTTGTTGTTACATCATCGATCGATCAATTTTAATTGAAATCGATCATTGTTTATTGGACTTTTTTGATATGTGTTTAAATAATGTGTGTGTGTGAGTGTTTTTTATGCAATTACATTTGGTCAATTACAACAATTTAAAAAAAAATGTCCAAAACATCCATTCATATATCTGAATGAATATGAATAAATAATTTTCAATAATTTTTAATAAATTGTTCGAATTTCGAACGTTTTCGAACGAATTGTGTCCACTCAGCCTCTCTCTCTCTCATACATTCATCCTCCTCTTCTTCTCTTTGTAGAAATAACGGAAATTCTTTTTTTTCAGAAATGAATTTATTTATCAATATTCATCTACATTTTGAACCATCTTGATTAATTTTTAAAAATTTTTTGTTTTTTTTTTGATAAAATAACACAAATGCCACAACATACACACACACACACAAACCACCAGTGACCAAATATATGAGTGGCTAATTCAAGCCACTAACTTTTATTTTTAATTTTGTCCATTTATAATCAATTTGTTGACCATGAATGGATGACCACCACCAGCATCGTCGCCGTCATCATCATCACACGCACATTAATAATATATATAAATGATCAACGATTTTCACACAAAATTTTTTTGTTTGTTCATCTCTTTAGTTTTTGGTCTTCATTTTGGTCTAATCATCATTATCTTCTCATTATTATAGTTTTTTGTTTGTGTTAAAATTCTATGTGAAAAAAAAATTCCCGATATTCGAAAACGAAATTATTATCATCATTTTTTTTTCTTTGGTCAAGAAAAGAAAAAAAATAACCGAAAATGTCTCGTCGTAAGCAGGAAAATCCTCAACCAAGAAAGCGTCTAGTCAATCGTAAGTAAATTTTTTTTTTTGCTCTCTGGAAGTTTTTCACTTTTTCCATCTATTCACAAATACAACATTCTTCTTTTCCATCAATCAAAAAAAAAAAAAATTTTCCATCTTCGTTTGTTGAATGTTCTCTGTATTTTATTTGTTTGTTTGTTTGTCAATTATAATCATCATCAATATTTAATATGCGCCTGCGTTTTTTTCTGATTGTTTTGAAACAATCTTTTTTCTTAACTCTCCTATAACACCGAAAAAAACTCTGTCTTGTCTATTTCAATCTATCCATCTATCTATAACTCCTTTGTCGTTTAACAATCCTTGTGTTTTGTACAGTTATTGTGTTTTGTAAAATAATCCATTCACATATCATACCAACAATCCGATTGGTCCGTTTGTTGTACCAACTGTTGCATTTAATTTCCATTTTTTTCCATTATTGAATTCAATTCCATCATTTACTCTTTTTGTTGTTGTTTGGTTTGCAGTAGCAGCAGCAGCAGCAGCATGTCGAGATAACATTCGAGTCGATTGAAGGCCATATACGAAAAATGGCCTATGGTTATTGTTGTTTTTTCATCTTATTTTTTTTTTTTTTTTTGGTTTAATGTCCGATCAGACATTGTATGAGTGAACCGCGCCCAACTTTCCTACACTCTGTACTCTTTGGCCCTTTTTTTGATTTGTTTTATCTTATAGAAATATTAAAAGAGTTGCCTGTTTTGTGTATACATTGGTAAAAATAGTAATAACAATGGTCCTAGGTCCAGGTGGTGGTTATTTTGGTCCTCCTTTTTTTTCGCTGGTAATCGTTATTATGGTTGAAATAAAATCTGCTATCCTTTCCGGCCGTTTTATGTTTGGCCTATTTAGAGTCCTATGTGTATGTCATATCTGTGTGTGTGTGTGTGTGTGTGATTGATCTGAGATTGTTATTGTTATTGTTTGTCCTTTGGATCTCCTTGACCTTAGTCGGTCAAATTTTTCTTTACGTCATTGTCATTAGTTTATTTCTTTCTTTTCTTCTTTCCAATCTGATTTCCATCGTGTTTTCCATCATCATACCAAGATTACAATATCGATGCCAAAATATGCAAACATATAAGCTTTAGAAAGTAAAGAAAAAGGGACCAACTTCAAGGCCACTGTCACTTTCTTTTGGCTACCATGACCACCATTGCACCTGATTGACCATCATGATCATCATGAACAACAACAACAACAACAGCAGACAGACAGCAGCCATGCTGTCGGTTGGCTATCGTTTTCGGTTTCCATACATAAATGTACGATCGAGGTCAGTGGACATGACCTTTGTCCTTCTATGGCCACCGTAAATAAGATTCAATATTATGTACATGGCTAATGGCTGACCACATATGGCACTTGTTGCTTGTACTCTGTAGTTTGACCGAGGCCGTTTTTTTTTTTTTTCGTTGGAAAACAAAACGAAAAAATTTTTTTCACATCATCATCATCTTCATTGCCAAAATAGTCTGCTAGACGTCTTGCTAGTGACCAGAACGGTCAAAAGTCACATACACACAAACACAAATAGCTTATCTGTATAATAAATGCCGAAATGACTGGACTTTGATTCTGTCATCATAATGTGTGGATGATGAACATACAATGATGATGATGATTATGACATGGATGAACTAATAAAATGAAAGTGATTTTGTAATTCTTTGGCCAAATGAAATTGAGAGTTCACATTACATATAGTGTAAACACATATATAACAACAACTAGGTTAGCCGGTATCATCATTATCAACAACAACAACAATCAATTTCCATCTCAACTAAATGGGTCTAGTTTTTAAAGATTATTACGGTTCGTTGTCGTGATCTTTGGTCCGTTTATGTGTGTGTGTGTTCTCATTTCCAATTTCCGTGGAAAGCCAAACCTTACCTTATTCAATGAATTTGACCTGATTCAAAACAAAAATATTCAAAAATTTCTGTTTGTGTGCGATGTTCACATCTTGATGTAATATATTTGCATTGAATCTCATCGTTATTAATAGTACTCTACAGTACAGTACAATACTTATTACCTTGGCTCTTTACTTTTGAATTATAAGGACCTTATGTCTTTGGCTACTGATACAATTTTTTTCAATTCATATAAGCATCATATTTAAACTTGATATTGACAAAAAACGAAAAACGGATGTAAATTCATTGTCGGCTTTGATTTTTTTTTCTTCTTATTTTGATCTGGTTTATTGATATAATACAAAACTCTTAACGTATTTATTATCATCATCATATATCAGCCTTCCTTTACAGAGAATGAAATATTTCTTCATTGATAATACCAGTACATTTGAATCAATGGTACATTGTAAAGAGAGTCATACCATAAACAGACCACTGGCATCCAAATAATATAAATGATCATAATCAAGCATCTAAAAAACGAGTGAAAAGTAAAAAAATTGCACGCATCTGTTCAATTTTCATTTTGTTTTTTCGTTTTCAAACATCTCAATGATTCGTTTTGCGTTTTTGTTGGTTGCTTGGTTGGTTGGTTGAATAGATGTTGGATTCACTGGTTTTTTCAGGTTTCATGTCAGAGTGCCGGCTATCCATTTTTCTCTCAATTTTCTAATGCTCTCTTATTGTTGATTGTCGATTGGCTGGCTGTCTTATACTTTGGACTTTGTTTTTTTCTGTCCTTCTTTCTTTGTTTGCTTGTAACAAAAAAAAAAATTAATGATTTTTAATATGGAAACCAATTGAGAATGAAACAAACAAACAAAGATTGAAATCTCTTGAAATTCAAGTTATATTTTCCCTCCATTTAATTAATATTTTTTTCTGGTTTTAATACAATATCCGCTATCATCATCATCATCATATAAAGACAAATTCAGCCAATTTTTCTGGTTTTAACATCATCATAAAGTCCAGTCTTATTTTAACAAGTGCTATATCAGAAAAAAAAATTTTGACAATAGTCAGCGTATTGATTATTGATTCTTATCAAATGATTGATCGCCATTGTATATTTGTATTTTCATTGATAGATACGGATGCTGATGATGTCCTTTGATTTTTATTTTCATCATACATACAAGTCGGTCATTCCAAATCGGCTATCAACATTCAAACAAAAATCTTATCATCGAGATTTTTTTTTCTAAAAAAAATAAAAATTTTTCTGTTTTTTTTTTATACAACAGCAGCATTTATTATATTGCTCAATTTAGCCTATCCGTTATTCATCATTCTCATCATTGCATTTTAGTTTTTAATTTACAAGAAAATAACAACAAAGAAAAGTCAAGATACCAGAAAGAGCGAGTATTAAAGAGATTGTGATGACGATGGCTTATTGATTTTATCTATCCACTAGATTCGAGGTTTTATATATATTTTCTTTAAAATCATCATAATCATCGTCATTGTTGTTGTTTTCTTTCCTTTCATCATCAGCAGCAAACATAAACACACGAGCTTTTGCATTTTATTGATTGTCATTGATCGATCACGAGCTAGAAAAAAAAATCAAAATCAATTGATCATTTATAATCGAAAAAAAAAATTTTAATACACATTTAAAATGATGGACTCTGGTTTTTTTTTCTTTAAAAAAATACACTTTTAGAATCGTCATTATTATAGTGAAAATGTGGTAACCAGTCAAAAAAGGGCTATCATTACTCTATTTCCCTCTATTTCCCTCTCTCTATTTAGCTCTCTCTCTTTCTTTCTATATATTATCAAAATGGTGAAGCATTCACTTTGGATCGATGGCCAGTTGTTTATGTATGTATGTATGTGTGTGTGTGTGTGTGTGTGTGTGCGTTTGTACATTTGATCGGTAATGTTGGTGATGATGGCGTTGTGCATGTCCCAATTGTTCCACAAATACACACATATAAACTAAACTAAACTCTATACACAAATCATTTCTGGACCATGATGATGGACTCGAATTGGAGTTCAATACGATTTTCATTATATAGATCATGAGAAAATGTGTTGTTTGTGTGTGTGTGTGTGTGAGCAAAAAGTAAAACTCTTGCGCTTTACGCAATTTGGCTTCGGTATATTCGCTATATTTGCTATAACAGATAATGTGTACTTCCCCCACTTCCTTCGCCAAAGTATTTTATTTTTTTTAATTAAATCAAACAATTAGATGGGCTAAAAAGACTGACCAAACAAATACACTCCGATAAATAACTCTTTGACCTTGTATAACTTAAAATAATGACTGGTTATTATAATTTTTCAGGTGTGTTTTGATTTTTTTTTTTTTTACAATATAAACATTAAATGTCATGGTCATCATTCATTGGTCCTAGCTTTTATTCTGTTGTGACTTGTCTGTCCATTTTGTCTAATTTATCTGTAAACACCTGTATTTGCTTGTGTGTGTGTGTGTGCCTCATTATATTCACAATATAAATGACCAGTATAAAATAAACTTTCATTTTCTTACCCCAATGTCCATTTGTGATTCATAATCTCTGCTGGACATCCATGGGTGGATGGAATTTTTACTTTTCAATGTCTATCAATGCCTTTTTTAGCATCATTTTATTTCTGATCTTGTCAATTATCGTTTTATGCCTATGGGCTAACGTGCTTGAATTTTTCGTTTTTATTTTCTCAAATTTTAAATTTCTAATAGATCAATGTTATCATAATGTGTGATGATCGTTTGTTTTCGTTAAGCGTCACTTATAATCTATGGTGAAAAAAAAATATTTTGCCAAAAAGATGTTGAAATGGCCGGTCAAAATGAACCAGATGTTTCATGGTGTTTTATAATGAACTTACAGAATGAAAAAAAAATTTGAATTTTGTTGTTTAGAGATGCCTCTTCATTCACACAAAATTCTTTCTCATTTGTTGTTGACCATATCGATGGTTGTTTTTTCATAATTTGACTTTGGACATTGAACTTTTTTCTCTTTGTTATCAGTCAAGCAAACATGAAAGCAGTCAGGCAATATGTTCTGGTGAAAATGAATCTCACGAAACCAA